TTTCCAAAGGTTTGACAATATATATCCAGGTGTTTTATATTCCAATTTTTTTTCACATCAATTAGCGTACGATACAAACTGCATATAAAGCAGAGTAAATTTTAAATTAGTAGATTTTGATATAAAACTGACTGAAGATTTTGGTTCATGTACGGGTCCTTTTTTTCCTTATTTCTCAACTGTTTTCGCTGACCTTTGTTTAAAATAACTTCTCATTCATTTATTTTGCATAATCTAAAGTGTAATTATGTTTTTTTTTTTTCTCTCTCTCTGGACTCGAATTACTTTAATGTCTGCTTATTTCAATGTACTTATGAATAAGAGGATTATACTCATTCGTGGTTGCTTTTCAATGCATTTTACATTACAAATATATGATATTCTTAAAACAGAAATTGTATAGCCGAAACTTATATACATTTTTAATTCATGCGTTTCACCCCTTAAAGAAGCGCGTAAGAAACAACATCGATATTGAAAGTATTAGCAAGGATAAAATACAAATTAGCAGTAATAATTGTAAATATATTGTTTTTCAGTGTTCGTTTTTTTGATATTTTTTTTTAAATTAAAGTTTTCTAGCATATCTATACTATAAAATAAGCTGATATTTCATAGTAGATTTTAAAACAGTCATGTTACGAGTGGTCAGTCAGTTGTTTATTTAGTCTTAACACCAGTGGTCAGACGCAGACAGAGAACAATAGGCAATTAGGACCTATTGTTAAGCTGACCATTGCAAATTACATTAGATATATATACTAGAACCTACCCTGGTTCTGCCTCAGTGCATACAATGAAGTTGATAAAAGAAAAGAGCGGGGCGGATCAATGATTCTTAATCATAAGTGGGTCTGAAAATTGAAACTAGATGATAGAGTTAATGAAATTATTATTGAATTATAAATTCATTTCATTTTAAACAAAATTAATTCTGTATCACCATAAGTGCATAATAATTAATTTTATGATCGGAAATCGGAAAATTTTGTTCTGATAAGGTCCAAATAATGTAGAATCTCATCACGATATTAAACAAAAAGGTGACGTAGAATTAATGTTTAAAACTGTGTACAAGTAACCAGGCCCTGTCTTTAACGTATTTTACGGAGACAAGAGGGGGTGGCTTATAAACTTAAAAGCTTTATACTATCCTCCAATTATAAATAGTATGAGCTCTCAGCAGTTTGAAATATTTATAAAAGTTGCGTATAAATTAAAAAGAAAATGATTGATCGATTTCACAATCGAAACTTGATTGACTTTTTTGCAGAATATTAATAAATGTAAATCAAAACGCAGGTTAGGAGTCGTCAGAAATGCAACAAGAATGGAAAATTACATTCAAATGATTTCTGGGCCGTCTTAAAATAGCGAGAAAAAGAGAAAAGAATAACATTCCAGTGCTTTAATAATTGTTTTTGAATTCGTTACATAAATACATAAAAATTAAATATTATCTGAATACGACTTAGAATTAAATTTTATCAAGTAAGCGTCAGGAAGAATAATTTGTCATCACGTCCCTCAGTTCATTAGCCACTGTCATTTTTTATTAGTGGCATCATTTTTAACAATATTTATCGGGAATTATACTCCTAGATAAAAAAAAAAACTTCTTTACAAAGATGTTCATTTTATCTGATTGGAAAAAAATGCGGGTTAATGCGAACTAATTCTTCTTTTTAATAAGTTCGAAGAAAGTCCAAATATGTACATTCAATGTGTCAAAACGGACTGACCTTGTTGATAATTCGATGATTCAAAGTGATATAAAGATTCTGTAGCCACTTACAACAGGACAGGACTTTTTTCTCTTGAAATAATAGTGATTTATTATCGTTATTTCTAATACATTGACCGTTATCATCCCCGTCAGAAATAAATCTATACTTTCTTCTTTAATTTATTTGTTACATCATAGCAAGTATATAATTACTTTAGAGATGTACTGTACAAAAACAATTCTATAAATCATCATAATCTTCTTCAAAAATAATTTTTAAACATTACCTCTTAAAACATTGTGTACTTCTACCGTTTTGCTTCGGTGAACAATACAGGGGCCTACTGGGGTATATACTGTGGCATACCGTAGGTCACTGTAGGAAGCAGTAGCCATACTGGGGCCTACCGTAGGCGTACTGGGGCCTACTGTAGGTAACTGTGGCATGCTGGGGATACATACAGTGGCATACTGAGAATTACTGTATATGCAGAGGAGACATACCGTACCATACTGTAGATATACCGTAGATAATTGTGGAAATGCTGTAGGTTACAGAGAAAGACAGGGGATTTTCATACGGACAGGGGTTTTGAAAGCCAGTAGTGTTAGAGAGGAATAATTGAAAATGAAATTTCCCTAGTAAGCAGTTACAACAGTTACAGCTATCACCCCCCCCCCCCCCTCCCCGAAGTCGCCGAACATCATTGTCGTAGCTTAAACGTTGGAGGCATGTTGAATCCAAATGAATTTTTTTTTGAGTGAAAAAGAAAGAATATGTAGCCTTTTTATAACTTCTGGAAATTTGTCATTCTCTTTTTGTAAAGCATATGTACTGGTACATGTACAAGATATATATGAAAGGAATGTTATTCTGCAAATATGTATACATATTAATGATAAAAAAAGCAACTCATGTAAATAGATTCATGCCCCCAGCCAAAAAGACTACATATATACGTATTATATTGGACTTTTAGTCGTAATTTGAAACATCTTTACCATAAAATAATTTATAAATTTTGAAATGAATTTGATTTTATGAACAAGATGAATGTGAGAGCAGTTAATGACGCATAATTGTATACGATAGACATTCCCCTGTTCACACGTGACATTATTTAGTGTGTGAAATGTGTTTCCGTATAATTTGAGTTATTCACAAAATGTTCATGTTTGTCGTATTGATGTGGAAATATAAAAATCCCCGACTTTGGATACTTTACAGTTCTGTTGTGTTGGGCATAACTTTAAAGAAGTTGCAAATACTTTTAACATTAGGAAAAATATAAAGCAGAACGAATGCCTGTTTGCGCGAAGATCATGAAATGTACTAAGCTCCGCGGGTATTTGTTGTCATATGCGCATTAATTAAGACTTCCAGATCGTTACTTGGCTAGTGATACTTTTGGATAACATTTGTCTCTAGGTGAAGGTTGACTTAGCAAAAAGCGCCATCCAATTGTTTAAGTTTTATAAGGTAATTACACCACCTATACAAGATTTTGCAGATACAACAATACCCCGATTCCAGGGACTATACGCAATTTTCACTTATAATACCCGATTTGGAGTATTCTCTGCAACCTGGTGAACGCGAGCGCACAGTGAACGCTGAACGCAAAACTTGAATGGAGAGCGCACGGAAAACTCACAGTGAATGAACGGTGAATGTAAGCTGGCCGAACTGTGAACGAACGGTAAGCGAACGGGAAAATGGGAAAGAAGAACGTTTCTGGGACTATATATCTTAAAGATTGTAGCGTTATTTTCCGAAATCATAGAAATTCTCAAAAGTTTTATAATATGTGATCTCATAGAATGTTTATTTTTTAGACTGTATTTCTTCGACAGTATCAACAGTTGACGTAAGTAGACTTAGTTGTTTACCTCATGGCAAAAAAAAAAAAAAAAAAAAAAAAAAAAAAAAAAAAAAATGGTAATAAAAAAAATGAAAAAAAAAAAGTCTTCTGAGACACAATATTCATTTTAAACACTCCTGTATTATGTATTCGAAGATTCCTTTCAAAGAATATTTCATTCTTGGACATTGTTAAATTTAAATTCTAAAATCTCATTTTTTTTAATAAAAAGATAGTGCAAATGGGTTCGTTCAAACAAAAACTAAATATTAAGTACATGAAGTAAGGAGATTGAAAAAAAAAATTAAAATAGTTTAAATAGATATCAATAAAAGTTGCATTTCCTTATGTTCGAAAGTTAAATACACCTAATCCATGTTGAAAATATATTAATGTATAGGACTGACGAAAAATCTGAAATCTAATAAGAGAATTTAAAATAACTAGATAATTTGTACCTTTTTTAGGAGAGATTTAGTCAACATGAATATCATATGTGGAGTCTCATATAACTTGACATGCATGATTTAGTCAATGATTTATGGAGCAAAACACTGTCCATATTATTGAATATGTATGTCTAATAGCCTCTGATAATCAAATTTCAGAATATGACTAGCGACGGGATTTCAGGTGAAACAACTTATTTGTCTACAACTTTCAAACAAACATTGAATGCTGAAACAACACCAAAAGTAGAAATAACGCCAAGCAAACCGGTTTCATCTTCAATAATCACTTCGACAGAATCTATACCATTCACTTCAATATCTCCAGAATCAAGCCCGTCTGGACTTACATCCAATCTTAGTTCTCCCTCTGCACCAATACCCCAGACGACAGATTCAAGTAACAATGCAAATATTCTACCTAACAAGGAACCGTTGAAGTTAATACAGACAACTATTATCTTGATTGTTATTGTGTTTAATCGTTATATCATGTAACAGCTATGCATATTCAAAAAATACAACATAAAAAATCTTCAATAGAGATAGCTTTGTAAATATTTATTTCTGTATTTGATATCAACTTGCCATTATTGAGAAGGTCATTAAAGAACTATGCTTGAAAAGGAGAATAATAAGTGATTGATTTTGAAAATAGGAAATGACTATTTTTGCGAAGTTCATGGTTTATCAACTGTGTCTTATAGCTATGAATTAAAATATTTACCCGTCTGAGTATCTTTTATTTTGCATAAATCCATTTTCTTCGGTGAGGGTCTGGTCACGGTACCAAAATGTTACGAGAGTTAGATAAACACAACTGTACACACATTTTTTTCCCTCTAAACTGACACAGTTATTACATGTAACATGGCAACAAAAACATATTACAAAATACACAATGGCATCATTACTTTTATGATACCATCGCGATAATGACGCCATAGGAAGATTGCACATTACATATCACACAAATAAGTTGTTATAATATTCATAACTTGGCTCTCTTGAATCACATTTTTTATAATTATGCAGATATTTTTGCATTGTTCATCTGGTTAAATATCTATGTGAACAATTTCTTTTAAACATATTGTTGATATCATAACAGGTTTAAAAATGTGGTTAAAAAATTACAAAAGCTAAAATCACCACGATGGTAATTCTCTGTCTCTCTGTCTCTCTCTCATATGTCCTAAATAGGTACAAAATGAATTTATTAAACTCAATCCATTCACTTCATATCACATGAGCTTAAGAGGCAATATCTTTTGTTTTCTATGCTAGATTTTCTGTTGAAATGAACATGGCAACTCCCGTCTGCAATAATAAGTAAAAGAAGAAAATGTAAGTTCTTTAAAACAACAATTGTTTTAGAGTTGAAGTAATTTATTAAATAATGTCGACGAAAATGTTACATGTGTGTCACACCACTGTTAAGAACTATATTTTGTCTTGATGATGATTCGTGTTCTTTACTATATTTATGAGACTGATCACTGTTTGTGTTACATTAAAAGTTTAAATATTAATCTAAAGTTTAAACTTATCTATGATTTTATAGAAAGTTCAAGTTAAGTTTTGACTTAAGATAAACTTTTAATGTAATATTTGTTGTATTCACCTTTTACATAAATATACTTAAAAAGATATTTTATTTTTACATTTATTCATTAGCAGATTTTATTTATTTCAAATGTAATGTTAACAACAAATTTAAAAAAAATATCATAATGAGAAAAATATATTTCAAAAACTTTTTTATTCTTAATATAAGGATTTTTTTCCTAATTTTGAGTTTAAATATATACAAGTTATCAGGTATGATTAGGGTTGTCACCCGAGGGCGCTTGCGCCCGAAGATGACAACCCTATTTAGACCTCATAACTTGTGATGTCTCCCTTCTAAAAAGTCCAAAATAGTTTTATTATCCCGAAGAACCTAAAATAGAGTAGAAAATATCAGACAAACCTCTTGTTTTCTCCTACTTACTGCTCTGATTCCATGCTTTTAAGATAACGTCAACAGACAACTCGACGTCACTGTTAAAATTTATTGTTTACCGATCCCGAATATTATGTTTCAATTATGTAAAATATTATAAATATGAGTTATTTCGCTTACGACACTTATTTTCATCTAAAGACAATACATGCAGTATTGCTACCCTGTAAGCTCGCTTGCGCATTTTCATTGTCATCTGAAGGGAGACAACACAGTTGTCACGCTGCGCGTGAGGTAGACATCACGAATTGTCTCCCCGGACGTGACATACTGTAAACCAATCAGATTGCGTGTATATATCTGAATCAGAATAATACTTTAATCATTACCCAAAACCGGAACCAGAGAAGAAGATTGTATCTTATGTAACCGCTTAGTTCAGGGCAATCATTTATTTTCCAGAAATCATTTTCAAAAGAAACTCAGTATTTTTACCGTAATACTTACAATGTGAAATATTTAAGTAAAAAGGCAACAATCAATATGGCGCCGATTAAAGTAAAGGAGACGATTACCACCGCCATAGTCGTAGCATCATCCTCCATGTTGCCGTCTCCTGAAAGGGAAAGGGAAAACAACAATTTAATGACAGGTATGTTCAACTGCTTGATGGTAAACACATACATGTACGTTTGTTAAAATGTTAATACTGGTAGTTACATATTGAAGTTAACTCTACTTCATAAGACTTACACATTTTTATTAGAGATTAAGGAATATTCGAACATTCGAATATTCATTCGATGAGCTAATATTCGAATCTGAATTTAAGATTCGAATATTCGGCGTTTTTCAGATTCCACAAAGACATACCATGATTAATAAATTTTAATTAGAATACTGCTAGAATACTATAGTCTGAAAGACGTAGAGATTGTAATTATCAAAATAAATGTCATTGATCATTTAAAGAATACCTTGTAATATTGTAATTAATTGTTATTAATTGTATTCATTTAAATCTGGAAAATTTACGACAATTATTGCCCTTGGTAAGACGAGTGGTTCATCAGATAGAGCTTCTACGGATATCATTTGTTAAAATTAGAATTTGGTTGTATACATTTCAATCACTCATTTATTTCAAGTATTGACAAATATCCAATCTAGAATTCCTTTTTTTGCGCCTAAAAAGTCTACATCCATTTTTACTTCCAAATACTAGTACCAACGCAGTACCTGTCACGAGGATGATGCATATTTTAAATAAATTATTCTATCATTATCATGATTATTCGAATATGAATTGTTGCCAAAATTGGCATCCCTAATTTTTATCTCCTTGCAATGTAAATTTGAGGTATTAATAATTGAAAAATAACCTGAATTTAAGATCATGATTCATAGATCATTCATTCCTAGATAACAACATATCGAATATGAAACCCATATGATTAAACTGCATGCACCAGTGAAGACTGTGAAATAGACAGCTACTCTTAAAGCTTTTCCTGGGAATCAATTGTGTTAGATTTTGATGGCATCCGTCACCAATGTATTTACAGGCATAGCAAATTTGTAAAGGCTGTGTTGCAACCCTTTAGTGTAAAGATGATCCCTAATGTAAATTTATTTTGTCTTATTTGTTTAAATACAGAGAATGAAATCTAAAGTTCACTTCAACTCTCTGGTTAAAAATAAACCTTATCGTAAAAAAGTTGAATTAAGGGTCGCAGGGGGCTATCCTACTTAGAGAGAATTATATTGACAATATTCTTCTTTTTTGTGATACTGTTAAATAGGTAAATTAAGTATCTATTTTTTAACAAATAAGGAACATTTGTGTCCATTTCTTTTCTTCAACCCTTCCTAAATAACAAGTTCTGGCGTGCATAATCTTTGGAACTAAAAGACTACCCTACTCTTTTTATACATGTAGTTAATATTAGCCTCTAAAAGATATTTTACTTCATGTTTATTATTATATTTTTCTTTTTAAAGGACAAAGTGATAACATTTGTTACTTAAATGATCTTTTTTCAAAAGGATACACCACATTTTGCTTATTCAATGAGGAAAAGGGTTTGCTTTTCTTCTGAATTTAATAACATAATGAGTATGTTCATATTTCTGTGACGACACTAATTGTATTTTTAGTCTGTTTTCTTTTCATTTGCTTTGTCTTTTAGTATCGTTTGACTAAATAAAACAAAGGAAGTATTTTGTAGAGAATTTTTCCAGGAATTACTGACAGTTGACCCTGCATTCGTGTTCAATTTCTCCATTTATTCATTCAGAAATAGTCCTGCTACAATTTTTTCCGGGTTAATATTATTTTTTATAAAAAAGATATTAAGGTCTTTTTCATCCGAAATTTATCTTTTTATTTATTAAGTATTTTTTATTCTAAGGGTAGCGCATTAACCTCTAATATTTCAATATTTTCCTGAGGACTGTTTTGTAAGAGGATTTATTTAGGGTGCATCTTTCAAAATAAGAAATTCTCCTAGAAATTTTATAACAAATAAACGAAAATTAACCAAAATGAATTGAAACCGGGTGCAAGCTTTGGTTTTGCATAGCATTTTATGTCTGGACTTCATTCTACAAAATAGACAGAGAGTTTAAAACTTCTACTTACCATGCTTGCTCTTGCATATTATTACATATCAGATTGATTTAATGGGACATAAAACTACATACAATCAATCATATCAGGTTGATATGTTACGTCTGCCTTGCAGACTGAAAAAAAGCAATTCTAACTTATCTGTATACAGACCTGCAGTGCACAATCCCTACTGTACACTTCTTTTAAGCAGCCCTGCTTATAGAGCAGCAAATAAGCAGAGTGTGTAAACCGGCCTAATCCAAGTAAATTCTCCCCTTGAAGGAATACAATAGGTAACTTACCCACTGAGCCGGCGCTGTTGTATTCTGTCATGGGTGGAACTTCACAAGTTTTATTTTCACCTGTTAAAATTTCTGTTTAACTCAGGCTTGTCATTTTGCTTATATATGAGAAAAACAAAGAAAGAAGAGATAAATTGCGATGCAGTTACATTAATAGTTCTCAAACATAATCACATATAAATTAAGTTGTGATATTATTTAACAACATGTCCGTGTTAAAGTGATAGAGTTTACATTATTCACCAAAGCAGTATCTTTCTTCTCTGTCTGTAGCAGGCACTAAACAGTAGGCTATGAATGTGCTGCAGTTTTTTATTCTAATATCATAGGTTTTATCACAGCATTCTGTCACTCTTCTCCCACGTCTACAAACGGTCCTGTTAACAGCACCATCCGATTCCATTGGTATACTACCTGTTTTTAATTTAAAAAATCATTTGAATATATATGTTTGCAACAATAAAATATATTGAAAAAATAGCCTGTACTGTAAAGGCGGAATGTTCATGCGAGGCGATAGCTTTTGCGTAAAGATATCCCATCATAACTAACGCCATTATACATTGTATAATTCGGTTTAATCAATGCCTATTTCTGTTGTCGTAAACACCCCTGTCTAATAACTCTGCTTCTTATTTGCGTAAATTACACCATGTAAAAAATATCCAAATGTACATTATTATTGACATTAAGTTAGACAATGCAAAAAAAAAAAAAAAAAAAAAAAAAAAAAAAAAAAAAAAAATTCATGAAATCTAGTCACAAAAATGTACTCACCATTTAACCACAATGGATATACGGCTCCACATTCCAGTAGCTCTGGACAGTGTGTTAGCATGCTAACATTAGACTTGTACCACTTCAGGATCAAGTCTCGGTCACTTAAATTATACGTTGAGTTAAAAATGCACTTTTGTGATCGTGAAAAATCTTCAAATACTGGCGAAGAACTAGCCGATAAACATATGTCTACGTATTAAGAAAACAAACATTAGTCTAAGATCATTTAATAAAAAAATTAAGTTTTAATTTAACATTCATTGAAATATATTTTTTTTTAGTTATTTCTTTTGAAAAACATTTATCTCCATATTTTCTAAATTCATTCAGTATCTTTAATACAATAAGTCTTATACAGGGTGTTTCATAATACATGTATATGTTACATTTTTAAATCTAAATATTTTTCTCACCTATCATTTTTTAAAAACATAAATCATATATCATTTGAAACACCAAATCCTGTATTTTTCTTTTATATGATAAAGTCAAGGAAATTGTGGTATTTAATGTTTAATTGTGAATCAACGCCAATATCATAATTTGATTATTTTTTTCTTTTTTCAAAATGGACATATATAACTCATCCTCATTTTGCTGAATTGTACCATTTCTAAAGCTTTTCTTGTTTTTCAAGACAAATCGCAAACATTCGTTTAGGAGTTGATGAAGAAAAATATTCCAGAAAAAATGGAAGCTTTCTTGAATGTAATCAGAAGGCTAGTAACAAAGTTTAAGAAGAGGGACTTGCAGTATGGGAGAAATTACACGATAGTTTAAAAAAAGCTATTCAAGAAAAGATTTCTTTTGTGAGGTGGAGACTCTACAGAGTTTTCCAAACTCGTCATGAAAGTGTCAGAAAGATGTTTTTCCGAAATTGATGCTGGCAATATCAGCATTTACAGAGTACATAGAAATTTGAAATATAAAGTTAAGTTGTCAACGTAAAAATTCCCCATTATGCAACACCCCAAGGAAAGAGCTTGACACCTGCATTTACCAGATCTCAATATTTAGGCCTCTTTCTGTGTAGATTCATTGAGAACAGGGTCTAAAATCCTAAATCATAGATACTGAATGAGCTCGAAAAAAACCTAAAACTTCAGATGAGGAATGTTTCAGCTAAAATATGGGACACTATTATTAAAAAATCAAGAAGCTTGCAGTTGACATAGGAGGAGTTCATTTTGATCACGTTATTTAAGTTTTGACGTTGTAAAATTCAATGTAACAAAAATGACGCAATTTAGAAATTACGCTAATTTTCCTTTAAGTTTGAGATTTTGGCCAGTGTTTAATATTTTAGTTAGTAATTGTACACAATGAATTTAATGGACAACATGCATCAAGTTGCTGAAAACATTTGTCTGTATCTTGTTTTTGTGTTTGTCGAATTTTATATTCAAAATGTAACATATATTATGAAACACCCTATATGTACCTGAGACTTCATTCCATAGGGACATAGAACCTGAAACACAACAGATCGCGTTCTTAAAATTAAAATCACGTACACGGCAATTATTTTACAAATCAACTGTAAAAATGAAACCATCTTTTGTCTTTTGAGCAATGAAAATGCTTAGCATAGACAAACATTTAAAACATGTTCTATTAATAGAAAATCAGACTTACCACCCGCTCTACATAATGTTTTAAAAACCATCAAAACAGAAAGCACTTTAAAAGTCGCCATTTGTTCTGAAAAAGACACCGAAAATTGCATTTATCATATCATAATTTTACAAACATAATGCCAGGATAGAAAATAGACAATTATATCTTCACACAAAATATGAAATCTTACTTAACGTTACAAATATAAACCAGTAAACTTTCTATTAATATCCTGTCGCCATTTCTGCAGGTAGATATCATTCCACGTTGTTGAATCCACATCCTGTTTACAAAAGTGCTCTGTTATTGATCAGTAACTATAGAACCAATCGGAATTCCTTTACCAGCACTGATAACAACGGGAGAAAATGAGGTGGATTTAAATACCCACTAAGTGTTAATCGGGAAATTTCAAATGATTTCACCTATCTTGTAATTGTTTCATTTTCATTTCAAACTTGCATGACGGAATTTAACCTTTTGCAAGAAAATCATATTAGTAATTATTAATTAAAATTAACAAATAAATTAAAGCTAAACGTTCACAATAATTATTTACCGTCTTTTAAATGACAATAATAGTACGTGTATATAACTAATTCATGTATATTTTTTTTCATTTTTACTTATGACTTTAAGCAACATAAAAAATAAAATTGTTAATTACATGCAAACCTATCAATAAAGCATATTTCCACAGTAAAATATTTATCAAACTACAGCTTTTTTTGCTTTTATCTAAAACAGAGAATGCTTTCTGACCAGATTATATAAATATTTTCTGCAGTGATTGCAACCGTTTATCCCCACATTAACAAACGAGGAAAGACATTTTATAGTCATATAGGCATTTGTTTATAGTTATATATATATCAAATCAAAAATTAAATACATTTAATATTCCACTTTTGCATCATACCAATAAAAGATCAGTTCAAGTAATCTGTGTATATTTATTGTCCTTAAGTCAGGAGATTAAGATATGCCTTGAAGCGATTAAACTTCTCGCAGGAAATTATACTTGGTCAGAAAATTATGAATACCACAATACACAATATGTAACTTGATAAAACCTAACTTCCTATTTACAAAACGGGAAATGCTAAAGCACTCCTTACACTTTATGAAATATACTTTACATTTACTTGTATTAAATCATTGGATGTAGAAGGTAAGTCTTATTGCTAGCAAACTGAATGAAATACATATATGTCTATATGTGTATTTACTTTATTGACTATTTTCAGTTGTACGTTTCCTAGGCTAAGTAGGTAAGTTAATTATCTCAACATTTAATCTTCGTTCGTAAGTGGTAATATTTTGTCTATTTGAATAGAGAAACATTTGAATGTTGGACTTAATATTAAATGCAGCAAAGTTGAATGGTTTTCAATAAGTATTTTCAGTATCAAAAATTGCTTCACAGTGTTATTGCTGTTTGAAAACAATGGGTTTTTTTTGTTTCGTGTTGGCATATGTTTTAAACAAAGATTTTTTTTCCAGGAATTGGAATATTGTGGTTCTTTTTTCTAAGTCTTTGTGATACATGTATCTATTTTTATAGTTAAATAGGCAATGAAATTTCTAAAAACATGTGTTCTCATTGTAACATTCAAACTGATATGACTAATTTTTAATTACATGTTTTTAATTTTTACCTACTCTGATCCAGTTTAACAACAATTTAGTTCTTAACTTTAACAACATAAATTGGCGAATATTTTCTTTGATTTAGTTTTGTTATTAATTTCTCGGGCTGTTTTTTTTTAATAACCCATGAGGGTTAAAACATGACGAACCTGTTTCCATGAATTTGTACGGTTGTTTATGGGTCGAAGGTGATACACGTTAAGCAAGCTATTTGAATTGTTGTTTCTGGAGTAATATGTCTAATTTTGCGATTTCGCTTTTGAAACGCATAAAAATATATGCATTATTAAATTCATTTTTCCGACATTCAGATGGCCTATGGATGTTGGATCCTGCTATCAAACGTCTAGATTTTTTTATCAAGTATATTTTTAATGTCTTCAAACATATCGGTAGTTTGATTAAAAATCAAGACAAAAACGGGAGGTAATTATGATTTTTCTCAGCTCTATTGTGCATTTAATATGAAATTTCTGCACTGCAATTGCAGCCTACAAATAAATAACTTTTTCAGAGTTTTTGTTCCACAATGTTTTGGTCGAAATGAATCATGGGGCCAAATATTGTCTTATTCTATGTAAAATATATACACGGAAAATTATGATAGAGAAAAAGTTTCAAGTTTCCTTCGCATTATCACTGATCAGTGACTTTTTTGCACTCATAATATGTAATTTCACTGGCATTAAAATAAACCAAGCAATAAAATTATTTCATAGTCTGAAGATTTCACTCAATTTCCAGCAGAATCATCACAGGTATCTCATACATATATATACAGAAAAAAGGGATCAATGATAATCACAAAATAAGTCTTATTGTAGTCTGCATTGAAGTCTAGGATGCCGAGTTTAACACTATTGAACTGCATACGGGGAACATCTCTCTCAGTTGATTCGATACGCAAGAGCATGCTCTACGTATGTACAATTTCTAAAACGAGGTAAATTATTGACAAATAAGTTGATGAAACAAGAATATCAGCTGTCTCGTTTAAAGTCATCATTTCGTAGGTTCTATGGTCGTTACAATGACCTTGTCAGCAAATACAATTTATCATTGAGTCAAATGCTGACTGACGTTTTTCATACTAATTGTTAGGCCATTATTTACACACTGAATCGTCGACGGATTTTTCCGTTATTTCCCCATCATGACAAGGAGCACACGGTGGGTGTGACCGGTCGGCAGGAGATGCTCACTCATCCATGGCACCTGATCCCACCTCTGATGTTTGGAGGTCTGTGTTTGCTCTGCTCCTATTTTGTATTGTTTAATGGACTTTTGAGCTTGAATACTGTTCTATATCTCCATATATTTCATTTGAAAAGAAAAATTGATTTTTTTCTTCGAGAAAATCCTCCGCCACAAAATTTTCTTTTTATGGTATTTAATCGTTACTTTTTAGATTGATATATTTAAATTGGCATTGTAAAATCAAAATATGTTGTTAAAACTAAAATATGACATAAAGTTTTAGACTGGAGGTCTAGATAAAAAGCCGAGGATCGAACCTCTTTAAAATCGTCGGGCTCAATAGAAACTATCCCCATTATCCTTCTTTAGATATATGTATTCCTGTGGACTTCTTTAATTGAATATACTAGTGATATATTTTTAGAAGTTATATATGCATACATGAATGATAAATATAATTTTAAGTTCTATACGAAGTATACAGGCTAATTAATTTTCAAACTATTTCTTTTATTTACAGGCAAGTAAGAAACGCATTATAAAACTACTTTATCTGAATATATTTCGTTTTCTAGCACATGAATATTAATCAACTCAGTAATTTACTTTTTATTTCATATTAGGATATTTTTGACTCTTTTAAGTTTCTCTAGCACGAGTATCTTACGTTTTGTTAGTGTATAGTCTTTTTTTAAATACAATATTAATGTTACAATTTGAAGATGTTCATAGACACAGTGAATGTTTTATTATATAAAACTATAATTATACCGTCCTCCACGTTTGAAAACATAATCTGTTGTTTGTGCTCTTTTCAATCTTTTCTGTACAGATAAATATATTTCATTTACACGTCTCAAATTTCAGTCACTTTTACTCAGTCAATGATTGAATGTTTGGTTTTGCCTCAACAAAAATATATTTTATTTCCCTACACTTTTTGAAATATTTTATCTCAGTCTACATCGAATATCTATACTTTAAGAGCGCTCTTTTTTTTTATCATATATAAATTCCCTCTTTCCGTTGTTTATATGTAAGTTTATGTAATCAATGCATCTTGTTCTAAAAACAAAAATTCATTTCCCTTCTATCCCTTATTCACTCAAAACCTCTCAATCCAAGGACTTCAGAAATGCTTATTTCACTCAAAATATGTTACTGAAACACTATATCTGTTTATTTAGCTATAGTGGGTTTTTTTTTCAAATTATCAGCCGATTTCCAGATAGACAGGGATATAAACGAGTCTGTTTTAAAAAGTTTCAATACATCTCAAGGAAGATAATAGGAATTTTTTTTTTAATTTTAAAGTCTGAGTGCCTTGTTGCCTTGTTAAGAATATATATATATATATATATATATATATATATATATATATATATATATATATATATATATATATATATATATATATATATATATATATATATATATATATATATATATATATATATATATATATATATATTGTATATATAATTTATGAGACTTTGCTCATTTGACCAAGTATTAATAGTGATTCTCTGTAACCACTTAAACTTCTTTGCAACGCATGGTCACCGATTTTGATGAAACTTTGCCCATTATATCAACTTGACACTAGAAACATATATCAAAAAAAAAATTGTTGCTATGTCTTGGTTGCCATGGTAACAGCCAGAAAAGTTGAAAAAAATGAAATTTTCAGCTTCTTTGAATCTTTATTAAGCCTTAATAAGGACTAAGAAAAACAATCAAACTATTATCACATAAACATGACACCTTGTTGCCACTTATGCTATAAAGAAACAATTAAGAATTTATTTAAGTAAGTGGTAACCATGGGTACATTTGGAATACATTTTAGATGCTGAAAAATGCTGAAAAATGCTCAATATTCACTAATGATAGATGTTACATGATCAAACTCAATCAACAACCTAAGGAAAAAAGTAAAAATATTTGACCTTAAGTAATTAGGTATTGGCAATATTATTCTAAAACAACCTTTATGGTTTCCATGGTAACACAATGTAACCATGCAAAATCTGTTGCTAAGATTGTGTTAATGCTACTATCTTGAGGGAAAACAATAAAATTCATGACTGGCACATATACATCCTTAGGACCTTGCAACACCGACAACATAAGAAAAAATGGGATTAATTGTTACTTTGCAGTGTAACCATGGAAACAACGTACCAGTTGTTTAAAGTGATTTTTTTGCTGCTTTAGAAATTTATTTACCTTTTAATCAAGAAACATATTTGACTCACCTTGAATAGTATTTATCTGGTAGAACTAAAGTTGAATATCATATATTGATAAAGTTTGTTGAAAAATACAAGTGTTGCTATGGTTAACAATTAGAAGGGAAAATGCTCGAATTTGTTAATTTTATATCAACATTAAATCCTATGTGCCAGCTTTTTGCATCCAGTTAGAGATTTGGTGGAAGTCAAAAGGTTAGTTGTTCATATATATCAATCATAAAAGTTTTGTGAATCTACATACAAGGGTACGTATCCAAGGAAACAGAATATTTTTCCGATTTTTATGCATATTTTTTTTCCGTCTAATTTCCATAGCAACGCTCTATTTGAAGAATTGAATTTGAATTTTCTGAAATGTGAAAATTAGGATCAAACCAACGCCTTTAGAAATTGATAATCAGTTATATAGAAATATGCTTTTTAAAAAGGCATTATTATATTAAAACACTAAGAGAGTAAATTTAAAATCCCTTTGTGGTATTAAAACCATGGCAACCATTGCCAACCTATAAGAAATATCATATTTCGTCCCTGGTATATGTTACAAGGATCTCTTGTCTATTATACGCTTTCATTTCAACCTTTAATTGTTTTTATTCTTAAGTGTATGACTTTATAAAACTAAATGAACAAAATTATTACTTTTGAATACTTTGTTTCCATAGTAACGTATGTAATAGTTGATTTACCAAATATGTTTATCATGCAATTAAGACATCAGGACTTCAACTTATAGAAACAGTCATTGCCGCTTGTTTGCTTTGCTTAAAATGTTAACTGTGGGACTCTGAACATGTTGAAAAATGCTATTTTTCAAACTTTAAGACATGTTGCTATGGTAACCATGACACGTAGCAACCAATTATTGCCTGAGTTGAGTTTACGTTATCGAAGACTTTTATCATAGAGAGTTTGGAGAAATTCTGAGATTATGCGTGCCACAGCTCCTATATAAAAGTTAAAGTCATTACAGAGAATGGCTCTTAATGTGCAGATATTTCTGGCACGTTTAACACTGTTCATTATTATTATTTTTTTTTAATATTTCAAAGACGTCTTATGTATATTTTTTCTTGATCTACACATTAAATTTAAGGTTTACATTAACAGTATTTATCCTTTAATTCAATTTACACCTTTGTCTCATTTTTTTTCTCTTTTGCTACCGATTACTTGTCAGTGATATATTTACTTTTTCATCTACAAATTACATTTCTCTGACAGAACTTTTATTTTATACTTCAATTTTTCTACAGAAAATACTTAAAGCTCGGGTACAAACACATACACTGCGGACGTCCAACTCATCCCATTTCACACCTTGAACACTTCATAATATGTTTTAAGGTTGGCCTATTTGAATGAGGAAGCTATATTAATGTAAGCATTAAACATACAATAGTATGACTAGATTTCCCTTTTGACGACACTTATTTGTCCGAATTACATCGAGAGGAGGATACGTTTCCTAGACAGGCACTGTTTTATTACACTCAACTTTCAAATATGCCTTCTGCTTGATCTTCCTCCTTTGACCAAATTATTGCAGTGATAATGTGTATTTATTTATTAAGTCAGAACCAGGACAAATTGTCTTGTACCAAAAAAAAAAAAAAAAAAAAAAAAAAAGAAATAGTCTTTCCTTTACAATTTTACCACTATTATGGTTTAGTTTAAGGAAATATAAAGATAACGAACAGTAATCAAGCTCAAAAGTCCTTGGAACAATACTGATTGGGAGCGGAGCAAAGATGGACCTCTAAAACATTAGAGGTGGGATCAGGTGCCATGGTGTAAGCATCCTTTGTTGACCTGTCACACCTGTCATGTGTTCCTTGTCATGATTGGGCAAAGGGAAAAATCTAGATAATTCAACTACAATTTGTAATAAAAACTTCTCAACATTTGCCTTACCGATAGACCGCATTTGCCAAGAATGTCAATTCATCGACCATAGAATTTGTGAAATGTTGACTTTAAAAGGGACTGTTGATTTTCTTGTATTATCAAGTTATTTATCATTAGCTTTCCTCGTTTTAGAAATTATTCGTAGGTAGCGCATGCTCTTGCGTATCTAATAAACTGTGAGAAACAAACTCCATATGCATAGAGATTACAATGACACTTTGCTACATAAATAAGGGTAGGACAACAGAAAAGTTGAAGTCATCACATCTATTATAAAGTTTTATTGTTAAGTTGCCATTTATGTCTTTTCTAATAAAATATCCAAATATGAAACACTTGTGTCAGACTCCCTGATGTCTAATTTCGAGTTCAAAGGAATATATCGAATCAATGTAGGAATTAAAATGAATGTAATTGATCGATAAAACCTTGTTGATGCATCTAAATTTTCAAGTGAGGGGCACAGCAAGAGATCTCTTTTCATATAGAAGTTTTCGAATAAATTCTGCTTCAAATGAATACAAAAACACTTCTACAATGGGGCGCAATTTGTAGTCATGGAAATTCTAACAGATTCTTGGAAGACTTGATCTCCAAACTCCAAAAACTACATAGATTTTGTCGATACGAAACTCAATCATCCTTATAATATCAACTTTGGAGTACTTGTGTAAACATTCAAAACGTTTTTTCAAAATAATTTTGACAATGACAATGACGTAAATCTTCGAGTCCCATTATTATTCAAAAAGCAGTTGTCTACAAGCTTGGATTTTCATTTATTACGGGGCATGGTTATATAAAATGTTGAAAAGTTGTATGCTTTGATCTAATTGATTTTTGTAAAATTTTGGAATTTCAAGTTTTCTAAAAGTTTCTTGGAGTTTTTTAGTATCCACATGATGAAATTCAGTGCACCCTTTTCAATGCATTTGACATAACACATGACCAGTTCATTAATTAGCCTTATTTAATGTTTCTTAGAAAGTTGTAGCCCGGTCTGATTATTTTAGTATCCACTTTTGTTTAACATGACATTGTCACTTCACAACGAACGGGCATCCCAAACACATGATTGTAGATGTATATATGGGATTTACACGTTCTTTTTTTATTTTGTAGACCATCCAATGGCTACCAGCGATGTACACAGGAACATAGGGCCTTTTATCTTGTTCATAAATATCATAAGTAAGTTTTCCTCTGGTTAAGGATAAGAAAGGCACATCGTCACATAAGTGGATTGACTATTTTGTAGGCTTTCTGAATATAGATCCGAAAATTTTAATAGTTATCAGAACTAAAGTAAAACTGTTGATCCTTAGCATGAAATGAAGATAATTTTGAAGTTTTAAGGTTTATGTCAATATTTATACATTCTTGAAATAAATAAGTATGTTCTTTTGTTACTCTGCGATGGGCGTCTAACAAGTCATACATACGTGTGATAGTGCATTAAGGTCAGTTGGACGTTGATTACATGGACAGTTTTGATTAAGTCAATGACCATAGTCAACATAGTCAGAGAACAGCGAGATTGATGATGTTCGATTAAATAACAAGCAGAATTATGCATTATTGAAACTTAAGCATTATTTCATAAATAGGCCTTTTGTAGAATATCAAATATTTAATTTGAAATATTTTTTTAAAAAATGATACATGCCCACTTACTAATTTTATTTTTGCTTAAAAATTCATATTTTTGACAGAATGAAGGGCACTCAAATACTTTATAAACATTCAATGAACCATTTCAGGTCATACGGCACCACTTAAATAAAGTTACAGACCTAAGATAGATCTGCATTAAAATATAAAAGAAGATAACTTAAGAAATCAATTCTCTCCCAGCCTTATGTCCTTGTTCTCCTTAACATACAGATATTCTGCGCTAACTTTCCATTTTTAGTGAGGATACATGGTTATATGATGATTTATTCCTTACATTAAATCCTTTTCATTTTTTTGTAAGAAGAGATGGATAAATGAGAATCTTCTTGCTTATGAAAACTTTGTTTGTAAAAATAGTGAAATGCAGAATGTACATCTCTGTATTTCTTGCATATTTATACTTTTTATTGCTGATCTTTTGAAGGTATACTTTCAATCGATCCATGCTTAGAAGAAAACTTCAAGATTCTTTCGGATTTACCAAAACGAAGTCCTGATTTCGCACAGGACGCTGCTCCTATCTGCGATAGATATCTAGAGAAAGGATGGTACAAAGCACCTAATTATGAAATAGTAACATCCCCACCCAGTATAGGGTTTTGTGGAACTCTATACCCGTTTTGGTTAAAGGGTAAGCTATAACAGGTACTGATTTTTAAGAAGGAATCTGTAAGTTATGATTTAATTCGATGTTTATAAATTTTGAAATGAAAAAAGTACAATTTCTAGACCCCTTTTTCGAAAAGTTTGAAAATTACCTAGTAATTGTATCATGAGGAAAGATGAAAGTTTCAAAATGATTCAATAACTTTATTATAAAATTAGTGTTGTGATGTATCAGGAGTCGATAGTTTTAATATATAATTGTTTGTGAATTGTGTGAAAGTGGTAATTGTTCTAAAAAAAAATAAAGGGGAACATAATTATTTTTTTTTTATCAAGTCTTAGTTGATTGAATTTAGTTTAGTTTTTGATAGTTGTTTGACAGTAAAATTTAAGGAAAATTCACTTAAATTATACCGTTTTTAGGCTCCAACGTTTGAATAATTACGGGAAAATTCACTTAATTATTCAAACGTTGGAACCTAGAAACGGTATAATCATAGGAGCTCAGTCTCATAAAATAGGATGAAATCTTTTTCTTCAGGTGTGCTCCCAGATACTGCTGGTAAAAGTAAAGTTCTAGAAGCCTGCGAGGTGGGATTCGCTACAAACTGCCAACAGATCATCTATGTCAATGTTACAAACTGTGGATCCTTTAATGTTTACTATCTTATGCCTCTTTTTCTGTGTAACTCAGCCTACTGCTTTGGTAAGTAATTTGTTATCGTATTCAAAGCCAATTGAATGTTTAACGAGAAAAAAAAAGATTTTGTAAATTCTGTTATGAATTTTTGATAGAATATGTTTGCATATCATTTATCTCTTTTAGAATATTAAATACAAGATCATTATTTTAAAGAGGAGTTTTCAAACCTATTCTTTATTATTATTAAATAATTTATTTTTTGCTTTAGTGCATTGATTTATGAATTTAAAACGTTGTGTATTAATATGTGAACAAATTCATCTTTAAGAAATTTCATTTCTCAGTTAAAACCAGAAAAATCTTAATGTTAAAGAAATCAATTATTTTTTTCTTTTCAGAGAAAAATACAAACTGTAAGTAAAGAGACGTGACGTCAAAGCACTAAAAAAAAAAACATATTTCATTTAATCAATGTTCATTCATATGATTTTGTAATTCCATGTAATTTCACGCCTTTTCCTTAATATATGAATATCCATATTTTCTTTTCTGACATGAGGTATTGATGAGGTGCCCAAAAATCCTCGGGTAATTTATCACAACGTGGAGTACACAGAACGGGAGGACACTAATGTCATACAATACAACCCTGTTGTTAACCTTAGATGTGATTTCACCCCGCTGGATGACGACACCTTGTTTTATGATATAGACTGGATTGTTAACACCAAAACCATCATATCTGGCCAGACAGTCACATCGTCTTCATTAGACAACGCCACATTGTCCACTCAGCTTCTTAGTGACCGAAAAATAAAAATTGGAGCCTCCGTAAATCTTTAGATTTATTATAAGCATGTATGAATGCTGCATAAATAAAACATCTGATAAATATCAAGAGAAAAGTGTGCTTTAAAAAGATACCTTTTTATCAGAGAAGAGAAAATGAAATGAAATTTAAAAACCGTAATTGAAAGTCTTGCAAGATACATTATTAGAATTTTCAAGAACACCGATACTTTTTTCCTGTAAGGTGAACAACGTACTTGTGTAATTTGCAGATTCAGTGCATTGTTGGAGCCAAGAAGACAGAAAAAGAAAAGCCCTGTACAACTACTTCCAGTTCTCTTTTCTTTGCTGGCATTCAGGTAAATTATTTGATTCACAAGAGAAATCCTACAAGATTGTACTTTTGTGAATTCATAGCAGTATGAGGAAAAAAAAATAGACATGCACCATTCATATATAGTTTATAAATTACAGAATCATTGATCTTGATATGTTTAGCTTGGTCAGATTAATTTAACAGGACTAAAAACCATGAGTATTTTTTTCTTTTTTAAATTACTCGTTTGTAAATCTTTGAAAATACAATTTACAATAAAGGAATAAAATAACTTTGCTTCCAGGTTTTGACTCCTACATTAACTTTGCAAAGAAAGGGATCAGCCACAGTTAAGATACGCCCAACAATTCCATTCGCCACAGAAACCTTCTACAGTAAACGCCTCAAGAAGTATTTTGCAGGGAGTTTAGATATAACCATATCCTTTCCTAATCAAATAGCAGCAAAGTGCGCGGCAGGCAGTTCTAATCTCTGTAGAATTACAATAGAAGGAATAACATACGATCAGAGACAAAAGTTTGCTGATAATTCCTGGTATAAAACATATGAAATGGAGGTTCACAATACAGACAATATCGCTTTCAACAATAACGTCAAACAGATTCTCTTAAGAATGACAACCAGTAGAGGGGGGACAAATGCTGCCGACATCTTTAATGACGTTACTCTACCTGATATCAATGTAAGTTAAATTATCAAAAACTGATATTCTTAGTGGTAACTATTGTCATTAATGTAAGTACAGATTAACAAAGAGCTATATCCACATTGATGTAAATCAACCTGATATTAATGTAAGTACACTAACATTAACTGATATCGTTATTTATGTAGATCTACCCAATATAATTAACATAAGATTACATTTTATTTGATATAGATCTACTTGATATAATTAATATTAAATGATATCTTCATTGATGTTACTTAGACCCTCCCTGATATTAATCTGAGTACAAATTAAGATAAACGTTTAGCTTCTTCCAGATATCAAATGTAACTACACATTAAGATACATACATATAACTTCAGATATATAATTAAATTTCTTTACCTGATGTGATTTGTAATTTAAGTATAATTTACATAAATTGATTCTTTCAAAAAACGAAATTATTTCCATTTCTTTTTTTTATCAATTGCAAGAAAATCTTTTTTTTTTCAGATAAACGTTGTAGAGACTGTGACAGTCTGGAAAGGCAAGCGATGCCACTCTCACGCAGACCCCCACATGAGGACGTTTGATGGATAGTAAGTCTGGTAGTTTGCAATATCATTGGTAATAAAAATCAAAGGAAAACAACCTTCAAATCTCTCGACTTGTTTCTTTATTATTACAATCTTATGACAGAGGACGGAGATCTAGAAATAGTACATAAAACTTAAAGGCAAAATATATGACTTTTGAATGTTGAATGCGGATTTTTTTTTTTAAAAGAAAATATACTGAAATACTAAATATAATGATATCTCCCTAGCTGAGGTTAGTCCATCTTTTTGAATACAGAGACTCGGTAGCATGACATTCTTAAAATTTATTTTTTGATCCACAGCGCCTATGAATGCCAACACACTGGTTGTGTCACTGGAATAACCAGCATTCTCTTTGAGAACAAAGAACAGAATCAACAGGTATCTGTTAACAATTTAAATGCAACCGTGGAGCATATTGTTTATATTTTATATTATTTAATCCTGATTTATGTTCAATTTTAAGGTACAAGTGAGGCACCACAAATGCTTCAATCCGAATGCTAGATGCATCTGCGCAATAGCTGTTCGCTCTGGCAAAGACGTGTTTATGTTTGATGCCTGTAATGGACGTCAGTACATTAATTTTCCAATCTGTGATGATAAATCTTTAAAGGTGGTGAGGGTGACAGACAAATCGTACAAGGTATTAACAAATTTGAGCATACACTGTGCCTGTTTAAGAAGTAAAATGATAAACTCCAATAAAACATTCCTTATCTTCAGTCAAATATATAATAATATACAAACAAAAAGAAAATATAATATATAGCCATTCAAACTATTTCTGAGATTTCTACTAAACTTTTTTGAATTTTTCCTTTTTGTGCTTTTAAACGTTAAGTAGCTAGAATTATGTTCAATATTTACTTTTCTTATTGACTCTCTCATACTAAAATATTAGATATTCTTTCCAACGGGAACATATGTCGACACAACTCTTAATATGGCCAGAGACTGGTTTATTCAGACACAAGTGTATCCGTCTGTTGCTGATGTAGGGAAATCAGGTGGATTATGTGGTCTACTTGATGGGAATATTAAGAATGATTTGACAAGACGGTCTGGAATAATTGACAATACAAACAGTTTTAGCTACCGTACTCCTCCGGATGCGTTCTCTATATCATGGAGGTATGAATCTTTTTTTTTTCATTTAAGACATAAATTACGAGGGAAGTCTGGTAAAATCCTGAACAACGCCCCTTTTATTGAAAAATAATGCACGCTCTAAGCTGAAAACTAAGGAAAGTTTTGTTTATAATATTTATTTATATTAAGATATTTTTGATAAAATATACACAAAGGTAACAATTTTATTATACTTGAATGTGCACAGGGTATGGTCCTACAACGGGGTTTTATCAGAGAATATGAATTAGAAAAATAAATACTAAATAAAAAAGTTGGGGTAAAAGTATCATATGTTAAGTCACCACTAGTTATTATGTCACCACCTGAAGTTCAAGGCATTTGATTAATTTTCGACAGTCTCCAGAGCATTTGGAACGGTTAAGTGGTAAACACAACACCAGATAAATGGCGACGTTTAATGACGTTACGGAGCACCAGAGAGCAGTTAAGATAAATGTAAATATAAAATAAAACATGATAACAGCCGATTAAAAATAACCCCCCCCCCCCCAAAAAAAAAAAAAAAATCACTAGATCTTTAGTATACAATTGGGATGAGCTTTTTTGAGGACAGGCTTTTTTCATCGACTTCCCCTGTAGAACAAAACATACGGAGGAGCAGCGACTGGCAAATAGCGAAAAACGCTAATACTGCAGAAATTGGATTAAAAATGCCAATTTAGTCCTCTGTAGTGTACTAATATAAATCTTCAGAAGGCCCCAATGTTTACGAGATTGGTCCCTCGCCTGTTAATGGAAGATTAATGGAAGGAATAAGTTGAATTCCTTATCCAACTTTCTTCAAAACTTGACCTTGCTTTATACACTTTGGTTTTCATCCGTGCGCCGTAAGCGACACCATACAAAACATAAAATGCCATAATTTGTTTCTATATTATCATATATCTAATTGAAATCTGCTGTGTATATTGATGAAAAATGTACTGACGAGAAGTGTAAATTTTAGAAGGCAGTGTTGAATATTGTTTTTATTCTAGACAAACTGTTCGCAATTTTACCGGACAACCCTCGTAAATAAAGTAGAAATATATTAATCATCCAACTTGCACTTGGTCGCAAATTTGTACCAGAATAGACTACAAAAGTGTCGGCTTGCACATTGAAAAGAAAAAAGAAAAAAATTAAAATGGTAATTAAAATAAAAGCCGGAATTCACAGTGAAATAGATAGAACAGATGTCGGATAAGACCATTAATGCTGTATATATTTAATCATATATTTATACTGTATGAACCTGACATATGAATGTCTTTATGAATAATTTATTAGAGCCAGTTCAACAGAGGATCTTTTTGCTGCTTCCATGAATTTCGCTTCCCTGAAGTCTTTATCTTTGACAAAAGTAAAATTTTGTGCATGTAACAAGGGTGTAACAGAATGCAGCTACCAACAATTCACCGACTGTAACGATATGACACGGGGAAAGGAGTATGAGTGCATTCTTCACAGTAGCACGAGCAGACGCAAGCGTCATGTGGTATACACGCAATCTTTCTCTCCGGATCCCATTGAGCTTTCTCTATCAACCGTAAGTCTGTTCATGAAAGCAAATCAATATCATTTATTAGCACTACTTATTTCCTTTATGTTTTGGTATTTTTGGTATTATTGCAGAGAGTAAAACGACAAGCTTATGATATAACTGAAAACGCAACAACAATATGCAGCGCCGCATTCGAAGCGTCGTTTGCATATAGAACCTGTCGAGATAATGTCGCTGATTTTTCGAGTGATTCCGTAAAAGATTGTATCTTGGATGTGTCGGTGAGATCATTTGAATTTTATTATAATTTTTTTCAATGTATTGGATAGCCATATACATGTGATGCCTTCCAGGCTCGTTATCAATTAAACAACTGTAGAATTTGTTGCATCGTATGATTTACCAAGCATACTATAATAAATGTTTGAGTCGTTGATACATTCACTTTATAACATGTATATTTCTAAATTGTCAGTTAACAGGAGATCCTTCCTTAGTAACTTTTCACTTAGAAAGCGCCATTGACCAATGTAAAGCCTTCATCAACCTCAACGAAACGCTTCAACTGGCAGAACCAGAAGTAGCAAAGGAAATAACTAGCATTTGTCAGAATAACTGCAGCTATCAGGGATCATGCAAAAATGGTTGTTATTACATATAAAGTTTATAAAAGTTACAATGTGGATCAACATCAATTATTGATTCATTTTATTCTATTTTAACATATTTGAAAATACAAATAAGAAAAACCCTTTGAAGATGATAACATACACCGTGCGAACCTAATATTGTAGTAAAAAAAATTTGCATTTGTCTTTTTACTATTTTTTTTTCTGTCTTTTCTTTATGTTTTGTCCACTTATTATATTTTGATCACCAAACTGCATATATAGTTTAAATGTCATGATTCTTAAATTCTTCAAAAAGTCTAACGACTATGGACATGTCTTTTCAGGGTGACGTTTCAAGCCCATGCAAATCTTACTACGATATTAGATAAAATTATATAAATGAGAATAAAAGTGTAAACATTTTTAACAGGAAGCTGTTTTTGTGATGACGGGTTCGGTGGAAGTGATTGTTCGTTCGATATATCGGAACCTCCCAATATTACGGAGGTGTTGGTTGGTGAATTGTGCGACAAGTCTACGGAAGTCTGTAGCTTTATCACATTCTTTGGGCAATACTTTGTAGAAAACACCAATTCTACATGCTATATCAAAGTAAATGATGTAAGTAGATTTACATATCCATTGCATGTTACAGAAATGCCTTAATTGAAATTTAATTTAGGTAGTATTACATGTACTTGCATCTTTACCATTTTGTTGACATAATATTGTTTCAAGTATATTTTTGTTAGAAAATGTTTTATAGATACTGCTATTTTTCCTTAAAAATCACCTGTTCTTTGATAGTTTTCCTTTCTTGGTAAAATCGAAAGCAGGATGACATACGAGGAACCCCTTGATGTTCAGACACTTTATGAGGCAAACTGCCCGAATCCCAACATTAACACAACATCTTGGATACATCAGTTCATTTTCAATGTCTCGAATGATGGTCAGAAATTCACTAGGACTTTGTCGGTTTTCGTTTATAATTCCCAGTGTCAAATACCACGGAATTACTCTGGGATGGCCACCTTTGTATTATCCGCAAGTGACTTTTTCATTACTGCATTATCTTTATTATATAAAGATTCATACGAATGAATTTTACGAAAAGTAAATATTATAACTGCTTAAGAAGATTATTATTTGTGTTTTATATTCATAAAAATGTATTTTGTTGATTATGAATAACGATATAAAGTGATTAGTAATACGAATTTGCGATGAAGTAATCTTCAAAGGGAATGGTGGCTATTACTTTTAATAAAATCTAGTCTTGCATAATTCAAGTAAGTTATGCATGAAAGCAGATAATTTAACCTTGTTGTACGTGATTTACATTTTATGTAATTTTGTTAAACTTTAAAAATAAATTTAAATCAAAACGACTTCAATACCAAACCAGTTATTTTTGTTAGCGAATTCACCTATTCTATATCGTAATGTTAGGAGAAATTTAATCTTTATTTGTAAATTGTTTTAGAATGGTTATTGCTTTATTGATGGTCAATGTGTAGTTGATGGACAAACAAAGAAGGAGAACGAAAGCATGATCTGTGATGTTAACCGGAATGTCTTTGAGTGGTCTTTAGTTGAAGGTTTGTCTTAGAATGAGTTATTGTAATGTAGGTGTTACAAGAATAGAACTTTTTCAATATAAACTTAGATTTAAGGCCTGGATGCATCATATGACAAACAGGGAAATGATATTACTTCAAACTATTAATTGTAGACCATTGTAAAATTTTCGAGACTATGACATACGTCGCTGTTATCTGAATTAGGTTACATGTAACTCAGCATGGTCACGAAATCAGACAATAAACAACAGTAACTATTAGTTACTAAGGACCGATGGACCCGTATTAAGTTGGAATACTACTGAATTGATAGATGTAATTTTTCAATTTTATTTTGACTTCAATTTTTGCAATTTGAATGAATTTAGACGAGAAAAACGGAGATCATAAATAATTCATAATGAAATAGAAGTCTGTTTACGATAGCAAAATGAATTTTGACGTCAAGGAGGTGCAGATAGTATACTTAAAAGCTGTCCAGACTAAATGAGCTGCTAAAACAATATCTATACGAAAAAATGTGCGGGGGTTGGTTTTTCGTTGGTGTTTTTTTTCCTGACAAATTATTCAACCAGAGTGAAAACTAAGGTGCCGATCAAACATCAATCATAACACACTTAATAACATTGACCTTCGGTGTAAAAGTCGGTACTGCATGATTGTAATCCAACTGCTTCTGACACTTCTTGTAATTTTACATTGGGTTGGCAAGAACACACATTTTATTTTTTTTAAAGAATTGTTTAAAAAAAGAGTTTGATTTCTAGAATGTTACATATATTTGACATGAAAAAAAGGGTTAATCTTTCTCAGCCATTTCAATGAGAAAAAAACTAAGGCTGACGCGACCTAAAAATGCTGCCATGCTGTTATAGGTCAGTGGACATATGCAAGTTTTTTTTGTTTTTTTTTTTCACCGGGACTTATTTGATGATGATTTTATATAAAACAATTTGAACATTTATCTTATTTTTCTCTTAATAAAATGTTGACTAATATTTGCGATTTTTTTCTCTTTCCCTTATGGAGTAAAAGTAAATGTTCGAACAATTTTTGAACAGCCTTCCATTAATGATTAAAAGATGATTTCTTCTGAAGCAAAAAGAAGGGTATTGGCTGAGAAAAGAAAAGAAAGAAACTCATCTGATGGACATTAAGCACCTGTCAAATCAATGAGCACATATAGTTTCATTGTTATAGCATTTCAGATAAATTATCTTTTTTTATTTTAGGAAGCACACCAACAGGTGTATCTAAAGCAGATGTAAGTTAAACATTTCTACTAACAAATTGAATTTTTGAATAAATAAATTCTTACTATTTTCTTTAATTACTACTGTTCTTTCAGTACACGACCAGTGGTTCGATTTCAGGAGTCACTTCCACACCCAAAGCAGATGTTACTACTCAGATGATGACTACTAAAGAAAAGACAACAAAATCGGTGACGACAGAAAGTAATTCAAAAACAACAATGGTTTCTTTATCACCAACAACAGAAAAGGAGAAAATAACAGAAGCTAAAACCACAGCAGTTCTAACTACATCTAAACTACCAGCTTCGACATCGTCCAAAATGACAAGTTCATTTTCTAAGCCACCATCTTTAGCTACCAACACAGCGCCACCAATAACTTCAGGAGTTATTCAGACAACAGAACAACCTACTAAAAAGCAGCTCCCAACCACGAAAATGACACCTCCTACGATGTCAGCAGTCATGCATACAACAGAAAAGATGAACAGTACTGATACTGTCATTGTTCCGATCCCACTGGAGATCTCAAAAGCCGCTATTGTTCTGATCGTTCTAGCAATCATATTCCTGATAGTAATAGGGGTGTTTGTTGGTGTCCAAGCCAAGAGGTGGGTACTGGGTCATTGGTCATGTACAACCTTTTCGATCGGTATTACATGCCAGTTGTTAAAAAGGATTGTCCTTGTCAAACATTTCGTTAAAATGCATTGATGACTTCAAGAGATTACAGAAATTGATCTTTGATTTCATATAATAATCGTACATACGATTTTAATTTTAGGAAATGGAATGCTGGATCCTTTGGAGTTAGAGGGACTGGCCATGAAATGAGATACAGATCGTTTGATTAGCTAATGCCGCCATTGTCAGAATCACAGACAAGATAATAGTTTATCCGAATATTTCATATAATTATTTAAAACATACAACATTATGGTCTCCAATTAGTCAAAATAGGTATATCATAATAGCAATGGAGGAGAAAATATTGAAGATGGATAAGAACTCAATTATAAAATTTACTAGAATATATTTATGATCTTTATTGCTTTGTTTAATATGTTTTAAATTACTCGGACACTCTTTAAAGCCAGCTTATTAAAGATATCAATTTTTTATGAACAGTGAAATTGTTATTTTTTAAGCAATTTATACATATGCTAGAGCTTCTTGCATTAGACAAATAGGGCATGCTTTTTCTTTCAAACCCGAAATTATTTTACAATTTCAAATTAAAATTTGTACAAACATAAACGAACTATTTCATGAGATTAATGGAACAAATATGAGGTATACCATTTATATATGTACATTTACTCAAAAGTAAAGAGCTTATAACCAGAAAACAAATATACGATTTGAGAAGTCTTGTCTGTGTGGTTATTTATATCAAGAAATCCAAAAAGCACTCAAGAAGTAACTAGAATCGTCTTTCTATGGGTGACAATTAATATCGGAAGATGAGACACGTGCACTTTTGATTGATAATCTTAAAAAAGTACCCATGGTCCTGAAACCTTTAAAAAGTACATACATGTAGTAAATGTCTGCAAAACTCGCTAAAAACAATACCTTTAATTCTTCCTTAAAATTCTCTGTGATTTTGTTTAGATACATAAATAGAAATTAAGGACTTGAGAAATAGAAAAATCTAAATTATGAAAATAAAGGAGTCAAATTTACTACTAGAAAAAAAAAAAAAAAAATAAAAGTTCATGCTTATTGTGTGAGGAAATAATGAAAATTTATTCTCGCTTTATAGAAAGACATTAAACACTTTATGAAAGCAAGCACATTTATTCTTGCAATAAATAAAAGTTAGTCGTATGATGATGTGAATAACGAAAAGATGAAAACAATTAAATTTTCAAAGAATCAAGAAGACAATATCACTAAGTGATGGTATCATTTGGATTAAATTTGACCGTTTTATATTAGAGGCAAGGTCGGGTCAAGGTCAGTACCTTTTCCCTGGACATTAAGAATAAAAAATACTGTTGCCAATCATGCGATGCCTACTTCTACTTCAATAAATTATATGTTTTTCTTTTTGCATAAAGAGATATTACCATATAGGGTCTATAAGATGATATTACCAAATTGACATAAATAATTTAACTAAAATGGATATTGGCTAATCCGAATTTTCTCTATTTTTTTTTTTTTTTTTTTTTTTTTTTTTTTCAAGATATTTTAGTTATTTTTATATGCTTCCTATATTTAAATGTTTCTTATTTTCACATATAGGTACAAAATGATATAAAAACAAAAAGTTTTGACCGTTTAGTAAGAGAGAAAAAACACTTTTTACGAATTTTTGTCTCAAATCTGAACTTAGATTGGAAGCTTTTAAAAGCTAACATAATTGTAGTTTGCTTGGAAAATCATATTCATTTGATATATTTTAAAACTTTAGTCCCTTATTATTAATTTCACTTACATTTAAAAATTTTCTCCAAGTCTTTGATTGTGTAAAAATTATAACTAAATTCATTGTTCTATAATTATTTTGAGAGGCAGAAAAGAAAATATTTTCATACGCCGCCATTCCGCCAAAAATATAGTCCCTGCTAGATTTCAAACTCAGTTTACCATTTCTATTAAAAGTTGTACAATTGTGATGAGGAAAGAAAAATATGATCTTTTAAATCTCTTACATCTAAATATACAAAACATATAAGCAAATATACTTTGAATATTTCATCTAGTCAGAAACCAGACAAGAATCCCTCCTTAACATTCAAAATTATTAAAAACAACGCAGATTAATAAACAGAACATAAAACAATGACCCATAGAAACACCAGATGTAGAATAAGGCGCCTAGGAGGAATAGGAACCACTGTCGGCCGCTCACACCCAATGTGAGCCCTATGTATTGATCAGGAAGATGCAATGATCTCTAATCAAATTTAGAATAAATTAAAATGACATAACAACTTGTCAAAAACATGTCAATCAAAATACGACTAGTGATAGGATGATCTGGAAATAAAGTCATTATAACGATTAATGAATTTTCAAGTTTTTGACCTTAAGCAGGGTTTTAAATTTCTGTAATGTCTGTAGGTTGTCTCGTTTTGAAAATTGATCGCATGCACACCATTCTCTTGCGTGTCAAATACGTTTGGGGAACATTAGCAAATGTATGCGGGTGATATTAGATAATAACTATATTAACAAGAGGCCCATGGGCTACAATGCTCACCTAAGTAATTATGACCCTTCTTGTTCCTCATCAGCAGATTCTTCTTCCTAATAGATACATTCCTATGTAAAACTTTGATCCCCGTTGTAGCCCCACCCTATCCCCGGGTGTCATGATTTGAATGTACACTACCTGTGAATGCTTCCATATAAATATGACTAATAAAGGCTCTCCTTTTATTGAAAAGATTTTTTAGGAATTTTCATATGTATTCCAATTGTCCATTGTCGCCCCACCCTAACCCTACCCCCGAGGGTCATAATTTGAACAAACTTGGATCTACACTACCTAAGAATGCAGGCGCAGTGGTTAGAGCGTCTGCTCTAGAGTCGCGGAGTAAGGAGTTGATCCTTACGTCGCGGGTTCGAATCCCACTGTGGGACGTGGAGACTGGTCCTTCAGATGAGACCGTATAAACCGAGGTCCCATGTCGCAGTAGGTGCTGGCACGAAAAAGATCCCTCACTGCTCAATGGCCGTAAGTGCCGAGTATAGGACAAAAATTTGCAGCTCTCCACCGGCGTCTTCATATGAGTGAAAAATTCTCGAGAGGGACGTTAAACAACATACAAAGAAACAAACAAAACCTAAGAATGCCTCCATATGATGACTAATCATGAATATGCTGTTCCTTGGAAAATCATTTTTCAAGATTTTTCCTTTGTTTTCCTATGTAAAACTTTGATTGCTCATTCTGGACCAACCCTTCACCGAACCCTAAGGGTCACGTTTTGAACAAATTTGGATTAACACTATATGAGGATGTTTCTATTTATATATGATTGATCATGGCTTTGCTGTTCTTGAGAAAAAGACTTAAAAATCCTTCTTGTATATACCTATGGAAAACCTTAGTTGACCCACCTTATCTCAAGTGGGGGTGGGGGGAGCAAGATTTTACCAAACTTGAACATACAGTGCCTTAGGATGTTCCATAAAAATATGACTAATCATGACTTTGCTGTTCCTTGGAAAAAATATTTTTCAAGATTTCTCCTATTTTTTCTTGTGTAATACTTTGATTGCCTATTTTGGCCCCACCATGCCCCGGTAGTCATGATTTGAACAAGCTGGAATCTACACTACCTCAGGATGTTTCTGTTTAAATATGACTGATCATGGCCTTGCTGTTCTTGGGAACAAGATTTTAAAAGATTTTTCTTTTATATTCCTTTGGAAAACCTTTTTGTTCATATTGGCCTCACCCTGTCCCCAGAAAGGGGAGACGGGAAACCTTTTTGTTCATATTGGCCTCACCCTGTCCCCAGAAAGGGGAGACGGGATGATGATGTGAACAAACTTAAATCTACGGTACCTGAGATGTTTCCATAAATACGAGGGTTGTCCGGTAAAATCGTGGACAAAGCGTTTTCCACGAAAAATAATGGGCGCACTAAGCTGAAATTTTCAGCAAATGTTTATTCGTCAAATTTAAGTGCATCTTAATATTTTTTTTATAAAATATAGACAAAAATAAAAAAAAAATTATGCTTGAATGTGCACAGGGTACGGTCCTATGGCGCACGATAAAAAAAAAACCAGGGTCTCATTAGCGAATACACGAGTATTATTTCGAATAAAAGTATTAACTAGATAAGGTTGGAGTAAAAATTATCCTATTTTTAATTATTATCTACTATTTCGTCTTTTTTTAAAATATCAAGGCGTTTGCATAATTTTTGGCAGTTCCCCGAGCATTTGAAATTTGAAATGGGAAAGTGGTAAACGCAACACACGAAAAATGGCGACATTTGGTGACGATACGGCGCACCGGAGAGCAGTTCAGTTTGATTTAGATTTTAGATGTAAGAAATGATGCCCTAAGAAATTTTAAATAACTACAGAAGAAAAAAATAAAGAAAATATCACTAGATCTTTAGTATACAAGTGAAATGGGAGTTTTCTAAGCGGAAGCTTTTTGATCGGGTCCATGGGTAGAACAAAACATGTGGCCAAACAGCTACTGGCAATAGCAAAAGACGCTGTCACTGAAGACCATCGATATAAGATAGCCTATTTAGTTGAATGAAAGTGAGAGCACTGTCCATAACTTACTAAATAAATCTTCAGAAGGTACTATGTGTGTGCGATTGGTTCCTCAACTGTTTATGGAGGAATAAATTGAAAATCAAGTATGTGCATCAATGAAATTACCGAATTTAAGTGGGGTTTATCCAACTTTTATTTAGCACAGAGGACACGTGACGCTGCTTTAGACACTTTGAAGTTATCATCCCTGCGCCGTAAGGCGATGCCACACATAGCATTAAGTTTCATATTTTGTTTTTTTGAGCAGATATCTATTTGAAATTTGCTATGAATATTGATGAAAAATGTACTAAAAAGTTATGAAAGTTTCAGAACGCAGTGGTAATTATTTTTCAATCTAGACAACTTGTCCACTATTTTACCGGACAACCCTCATATGTACTCTAATCATAAATTTGCTGTTCTTTGGATTGTAAAAGATTTTTAAAGATTTGTCCTTTGTTTCTTTAAGTAAAACTTTGCCTATTTTGATCCCATCCCCCCCCCCCCCCCAGGTTTCATGACAACCAAAATGAATTTGAATTACCATATTTGTACTGGATTCCGACACTTCATAAAAATCCTTACAAACAAAGATACATAGCGGGTTCCAGTAAATGTTCAACCAAGCCTCTTTCTTTACTCCTTACTAAGATATTATCAGTAGTGAAGGAGAAACTTCAAGAGTACTGTGCAACAATATATTCGAGAAGTGGTGTAAATCAGATGTGGATACTTAAAAATTCCAAGAAAGTTTTGAAAAATTTGAAATCACAAGATTTTACCAAATCAACAGCTTTAAAACTTACGACTTTTCAACTTTATACACAACCATTCCCCACGATAAATTAAAGTCCAGGCTTTTTGATATCATTGACAGCTGATTTTTCAATAA